AACAAAACCATTATACCCTGATTTCCCATTTTCAATGGGTTCAGGGTATAATAACCTTAATACAAAAGTAGCTGAAGAACTCACAGCAATTTAAAATTGTTTAAAGTCCATTCAACTAAATTCAATTCAATCAAATTCAATTCATTTCAATCATTATATTATCAATACTCGTTTAATTTCATTAATACTGTGTTAATTCAATTATACCCACAATTAGTTAAACCCTATTTTGTTACATGCTAATATATCTGGAGGTTTAAGTACGACTCAGCTAGTTTCTCTGATCAGTATTATCACTTATAGAGCCTGCCACGCCTACTACAGCCCATTGCATAAATTGGGAATATTCATTTTCAATGGGTTCCCATTCTATATAAATCGTACGCAATTTTTGACTCTAAGCTCGTCTGAGCCGGGAAAACGCAAAGAAAGTTTTACATAAAATATTTACAAAACTTGTATAATTCGTATTATTTATTTGAACAGCAGATTAATGATTGCTAGAGATGTCCAAGAAATGAATATTAATTAAAATTAATTAAATTATTACTGCTGCTGCTGCTGCTGCTACGTCAGCCTATTTATGATCTATTAGATAATGCCCGGGCCCGGGTTTGGGGCTGTGCCAAATGCATGTCATATGAAGCTTCTTCATTAATATTCATATGCGATGGACTGAAAAGTGTGTGGCCCAGAGGGCACAGAGGGCGCACCCAGCCAGCGCTACATGTAGATATGGCTATGGTCGATGGCTATCGCTATGGCTATCGTCGATAGGTAGATAGACCCGTTTGCATCGATATCACTTCCCTAATGAGCCGACACGTTTATTAGCACATAATTAATGGGCTGGCATTAAGACCTGACTACTATAACTCTCCGTTTCTGTTCGATCCACTCATCCCGCCTCACGCCGTCAGCCAAACCCTATTTGCTGCTAATGATATAATAATTTTTTTTTTTGCCATTATTGGGCAATGACAGAAAACTTTAGCAAATATTTTCGAAAGACGCAATCGGAGTGGATCAGCCATATGCATATGGACGTATACTTGGCCAAAGACTAACCCATGCAGTGGGGTACCCTGTAAAATGTTGTCGAGTGATTCTTAAGCTGTTTGCCATCCACTTGATGTACATCTATTTGAAAAATCAGTTAGTCTTAAGTTGTGTATTGTTTAATCTGTACAGTTTATAGAGTTCCTATAGCAGCTTCTTGCATTTGAGCTCAATATTAATTCAAAATATTACCCGTATGATAAAATTTATCGATAACTTTGCATATATTGGCTAGTAAATTTCTATGGGGACGATAATAATTGATAATGCAAATAAATATTTAAAACATGCTCGTTGACTGCATGCTTATAAATCGATAACATATCGATAACGAACGTGTTATCGCTATCGTGAATGATATTTATCGATTTTCTGACGTAATACTAACTCAACAAGCGATCATGTCTAAAAATCACTCGATAAAACTATGTATCGAACGTGTTATCGATAACATGTCTGTAAACTAATTAACGAACAACGTTTCCACTGTTTAAATTATAAAATCAACTTTTGCTCATACCATTCCATTTGCATTTTTCTATTGTAGAGCTACGCTACATTCTCTTTGACTTTCTAAAATCTGGCTCATGAAACGATAACATAGCGATAGCTTTGGCAAGCATCGATTGCTGCCTGAACTCTACGAGATCCACTCAATAAGTTCTCTTTGAAATGTATTATCGATAACAAGTAATAATGATTCAATTACCATATAATCACAGGAGCTTAAAAAACAACTTTCGATTATATATCGGTTTCCCAAGCAACAATGCTAAAAAATTGCCATGAAAATTGATATCTGATAAATGGCAACTGGAGTTACATTAATTATAATTCGTTAAATGATGATGCAAGTCCAACACCCAAAGAGAGAACCTGGGCATAACTTATTGCTGCTGTTGTTGCTGTTGCTGTAGTTGCTGTTGCTGTGGCTGTTGTAGGCATTAATAAAACAACATCCGCAGACGGCATAGATCCGCGGAATTGGCATAGTGTCGAGTTTCTGGGCATTACGAATGAAATATTTGTAATAACTCAATAAACAATTTGCATTTGAAGCTCGCCACACACGCACACACGCACGCATTTAGCGAGAGCGAGAGCGTGTGAGCGGGATGCGAATAGAAAGTGAGAGTGAGAGTGAGAGTAAGAGTGAGACGGAGACGGAGGCTGATAAAGATAAAACTTGAAACGCAGCTGCCAAAAATGTTGCGCAGCCGCCGTTGAATTAATGAAAGGCCAGCGCAACTGTTTGGGCCATGGCACTGGGATGGCACTAAAGCGACACACACGCACACACACGCACACACTCGCACACACACGCACAGCCACTGCCAATGGAGATTGTAGCAAATGCTGAACTAATGCGCGCCCTTGTATAAAACGCGTGGCCGGGTCAAGCTGGGCCATCATTGAACGGTTGGACATCGAGGGCTTAAGCACGACCAACGTGAAGATGAATGTAAGTGCAGGAGCCGCAGCAACAGTTGCTATAATTAGCTACCACAGCAAGTGCAAGTGCCTAAAAAGAAAAAAACAAACTCAAAGTGCCAAAAAACACAAACGAACGAACTCATTGAAAGCAAACAAAACAAAAAGACAAACAAGGACTAAACTGTGTCTATCCATATAAATAATTTACTATATTATCCAATTGGTTGGTTTTTTTTTTTAATGTGCCCAATTTTTTTTGTTTCTGTTTCGTGATCTTTAAAGTTCATTGGCGCTCTATTGGTGCTACTCGCCTGCTCTCTGTGCGGCCTAAGCGCCGCGGATTTGGGGCTGAAGCAAGCGAATCGCTTCGAGGAGAGCAGCTACGGCAATTCGCGCTATCAGATCTTTGAGGTGCACAATCATTATCAGGGCAAGAGCCACGCCTACTTGCCGCCTACACAGAACAGCCAGCAGCAGCAGCAGTTGCAGCCGCAACAGCAGCAGCAGTTGCAGCCGCAGCAGCAACAGCAACATGTTGTCGCTGGCAACGATGACAATTTGGATGTTTCATTTCTGAGCTTTGGCGATGAGGGACAAGGGCAGGCGCAGCCCTTGCCAGTGGCACAGCCAGTGGTGCAGCCCGTGGCTCAGCCAGTGGTGCAGCCTGCGTCTGTTCCGGTGCCTTTTCCTTCCAACTATCAGCATGATTTCCAGCGCAAGCAGGCGCCTCAGCCAGCTGTTGCCTATAGCACGCCAGCCTATTTGCCGCCCACTGTTGCCACGCCCAACCTGCAACAGCAGCAGCAGCAGGCATATCAATCGCCAGTTGCCACCACTTTGAACGCTGCTGCACCACAGGTATTCGCGGAGCCAGCAACTGGCTATCAGGCGCCTGACTATCTGCCACCCACTGCAAGCAGCTTAGAGCAGCAGCAACAGCAGCAACAGCAACAGCAGCAACAGCAACAGCAGCAGTTGGTGCAACAGCAACAAACACAGCTTGTCGCCAAGCCTTTCTATAGTGCCAACGACTATCTGCCACCCACAGCAACAACAACAACAACGACAACAGGCACAGCAACTGCAACAGCTGCTTCCATTGTCAGCTACCCACAGCAGCAACAATTGCAACAGCAGTTGCAACAGATTCCACAGCAGCAACAGGTCTATCACGCACCAGCTTATTTGCCACCCGATAGCAACAGCATTGACAGCAGTAGCAGCAGCAACATAGCTAGCAGTAGCAGCAGTAGCAGCAGCAGCAGCAGCATTGTTAGCAGCAATTCACTTCAATCAAATTATCAGGCCTCTGGCTATCTGCCACCTGGCTATGACTTTACGAATCCCGAAACAGCTTCCCAGCAACAGCAACAGATTCTAGCACCACAGCAACTGCCCCAGCAACTGCCTCAGCAACTGCCCCAACAATTGCCCCAGCAGCTGCCTCAGCAACTGCCCCAGCAACTGCCTCAGCAACTGCCTCAGCAACTGCCTCAGTCTGTGCCACAAGCAACTCTGCCTCAGGCAGCCGCACCAGCAGCTGCTTATCATGCTCCTGGCTACTTGCCACCTGGCTACGATTTCAGCAATCCCGACCAGCTGCCTTTGGATCAGATCATTGAGCAACCCCAGCTGCCAGCCGTGCAGCCAGCAACAGTTGGTGAGTATCGCACGCCAGGCTACTTGCCGCCCAGCTACGATGTAGTCAAGTCACAGACGCATGCGCAAGCACAGCAAACGAACGTCGTTTATCAGGCGCCACAGCAGCAGCCGCAGCCGCAGCAGCAATTGCAGGTGCAACAGCCGCAGCAGCAACAGCAATTGCAGGTGCAACAGCCACAGCAACAGCAGCAGCCACAGCAACTCAGCCATCCTGGTGCGCTGCCTGAGGGCTACGACTTTACCAAACCCGAGAACTTTGAGGCTGCCATTGCTGAGCTGCACAGTCTGCAAACGCAAACCAAATTGCTTAAGCAGCAGCAGCAACAGCAACAGCAGCAACAGCAACAGCAGCAGTTTCAGCTGCAGCAGCAGCAGCAGCAACAGCAGCAATTTCAATTGCAACAGCAACAACGTTCAGCTGGTTCCAACATCATTTATGGCGTGCCCAAGCAACAGCAGCAGCAACAGGTAAGGACAACAGCAACTGCTGTTGCTCCTGCTGCCTATCAGCCTGCACCCACTGTGGTGGCCGCTCCACTGCCCGCACCGCCCACACAGCACACACACATTCATGCGCTGAGGAGCTACATGAACACCGTGCAGCCGTATGCGCGCTACGGCCAGCCGCAGCAGCTGCAGCTGCAACTGCAGCAACGTGTGCAGCAGCAACAAGTGCAGCAGCAACAGGTGCAGCAGCAATTCGTTGAGGTGGCGCCCATGTACCGTGAGCAATCGAAGCGTCCACGTTTCTATGCCCCAGCCATGTCCTACGCACGCACTGCGGTGCCCACGCAGTACCACCAACACCACCACCACATCTTTCACGCCCAACGCCAGCAACGTCAGCAACATCAGCAGTATCGGCAGCAGCAGCAGCCACTGCCTCTGCCACTGCCACGCCCCGTGCTGAATCTACAGGCACAGCAGTCGCTGCAGAAGTTCATGCCCCGCGAAATGCAATTGGCCGTCAATGTGGCCGTCGCTGCCGCCTCGCCCGTTGCCCGCGGCAGCTCCAGGGTGCGCACCGTGCAAATCGTCAAGCCGCATGAGGTGCGCACGTTCAAGGTGCTGGAAACTTTGGATGCTGCTGGCGTCAAGACCATCAAGATCCTGGGCACCAGCAACGAGCAGCCGCGCGGCCATCATCACATTATCAAGGTGATCAGCCAGGATGCCAACAATGTGGAGACACATGTGCAGACGGTCAAGATCTACGACGATCAGCAGGAGTATCAGCAGCCACAGCAACAGCAACAGTTGCCAGCGGGTGCGCCTCGCGGCTATTTGCCACCAAATGTGGCAAGGCCACGCGAGCGAATTGTGCGACAAACGCGACCGCTGCGCCTGCTGCCTGTCTCCAGGCATTGAGTCCCACACACACACATACACACACACACACACATACACATATATATCAACACACAGACTCGTAGCACTGATTAGTTTAATTTCATCAAAGCGTATCGAATTTGTTGCCGGCTCGCGCGCTGTGCAAATCGCGCGCAAGTTTCATTTCTCAATCTAATTTCGACTTTTTTTTTCGAATCCAGTTTAACGAATTGTTAACTAATAAATTTACTTATGTACATAAATGGCTGTTTTGTCTTATCGATATTTATCGATATTTGAGGGATTCGAAGAAGTGAATCAAAGCAGACTACGAATTGACTGATTGATTGAAGTGATTTTATCACTGACTGACTGGAAAATTGAATGATTGATTGAAGTGATTGAATCATAGAATGACTTCTAGAATGATTGATTGATTGAAGTTATTGACCGCATGAGTTTTACTCAGTCTCAGTCTCTTCTTGACTTCTGGTCAATTTAGCTCATTGATTGATTGATTGGCTTCTGGTTGGCTACAAATCTGATTGATTGAACATAAACTCTCATTTAATTCTCGATTGATCGATTTTTGGCTGATTGATTGACTCACTGATTCTTGACTCCTGGCTGACTAATACTCTCACGGATTGACCTACATCCGATTGATTAATATTCTGACCAATAGCTTGACTGATAAACTGGCTGCCGAATAATTCCCTGGCTAACTGACCCACTGGCAGACTAATTGATTGGCTTTCAGGCATCGATTGCGTAACATACGGATCGAACGATTGAGTCACCGTCCGGTAATCACAGATGGCGTCCCAGCTCGTCTCATACACATTCAATTTGGACCTTTATCAACTGACTTTACGGGTATTCCAATCAAGCCTGCTTAAGATGCGCACTGCTGACCTTCGCCGTATTTTATGTGTTGTCGATTTGTACACTTTAAATATTTATCGGTAAATTAGCTAACACAGCGGCGGCTTAGCCACCGTGGTTAGAGAAAGTCCCAGTCCGGCATATGCAAATTGAATAGTTGACGCGACGAAAATTGAATGGAAAACCCACAAGCGCGAGCACAACAATGGAAAAGTCGAACAAATACCAATCAAAACATACTTAGAGCTCAATCAAAGCGCAGTCTTACAACTGCTGATTGATCAGTGTCGCGCTCTCCCATCGTCTCAGCGGTGTCTCGCTCTCTTTCTGCTTGACTTAATTGCTCAACGGCTATCAACATCGGCTGCCGTGTGACATAACTAGATGACGCACGCACACACTCAACTGGGCTACACCCAGTTCCGAGGGCCCAGTCAATGGGCCAATGTCATCGAGTGATGGGTTTATTTGTCCATTTCTCAAATATTTTGCCTCTTGTTTGTTCATGTATTTTATTTTCCCTTTCTTTCTATTTGCACTCATTGATCTCCGGAGATGCAAAAGCCGAAGAGACTCGACATTTTTATGTGTGGGATTTCTTTAAAAGTGGATCTCCAGCTAAAAATATCTTTACTTTACCTAGTATGACTCGAAATTCTATTATTATTGATTTGGCTAGAGTATACTAATTGACTATGTATCTTTAATTTACTTTCAAATTTTTATTTGAGCTAAAAAATTTCGCCAATTTTATACTTTTTATCTTAGCTAGCTTTATCTAAAATTGATTCTCTGACAGCTTCAGTAGATCAAATAAATATTACAGGGCATCACTGAGCCCATCACACTCCACTCCAATGCCGCGTTCCCAGTTTGTTTTCAGGCAGATCGTGCCTTAAAGTCCAGCCAAATGCCGCCCTTGTGGGCACCCACAAAGATATACGGATCTAGCTCGATGCCATCTAGGGTACGTACATTGACATGCACCTCGTACCGCCTAACTATGGCGGCTAACGCGGCCTTGGTTTGGGTGAGGCCCAGGCGTATGCCCACGCACTGACGCGGTCCATTGCCAAAGCCGAGAAAGACGCCCAGCTGCTGGAAACGCTTGAGGCCGCCATTTAGAAAGCGCTCGGGTCGAAATCGTTCGGGTTCTGGATAATAGTTGGGATCGTGATGCAGTCCATAGATGGGTATCATTACATTGTCGCCTGGCAACATTTGCAGCGGACTGCTATGGTGGCTGCCATGGAAGGTGTACGGCTCGGTGCAGGTCTTCGACGCCCAGCCGCCAGCTGGATAGATGCGAAGGGTCTCTATTAAGAATGACGGATAGGGAAGAATTGGTAAATAGATCTCTGGTCTGTTGGTTAAACTATCAAAAGATAACTATACGAAAATTTGCCAGCAATCTATATGAAGCAAGTGGAGAATATATGCATATACCAAGTATAAATGTATGTAGGCGCAAAGGAAGATGCAGGAGAAGAAAGACAGACGAGTAAAAGAGTGAAGAAAAGAGAGAGGGAAAGACAGAGATACAGAAAGAGAAAAAAGAGAGAGAGAGAGAGAGGAAGGGAGGGACTAAGCAGAGAGTGAGCCAGAGAGGAAAAAAAGAATACAAAGTAGAGATAGTGAGAATGAGAGATGGAGAAAAAACAAGTGAGAGAGTTGGGGGAAATATAGAGAAAGAGACAGAGATAGAGAGAGGAAAAGAAAAAAATATTAAAATGAAAATGAAACCTAGTGTAATAGATGGAGAGAGGGAAGACAAGGGAGATAGAGAGACAGAGACGAAATAAAGGACGAAGAGAGGGAGAGGAGAAATAAAGGACAAAGTGAGAGAAACAAAAAATAGGAAAAGTAAAAGATAGGTAAAGACAGATTTTATACAATGTTTTCATCATAAATACATATGCTCCAACCAGATTTATGAGTAAAGATATATGTATGTATGTATATATAGTCGAGTATCGCTAAATGGAACATCATGATAAATCGAACAAATTTTATCCCCTTGAAAAATAATCGTTCTTGATAGTTAGAGCTTCTGAGTAAATCGAAAAAAATGTGATCCCTAGTTTACCATGGTATATGTAGCTACTCATTGAACTCACCGTGTAGGCAGGCACTCAGATAGGGCAGCTCACTGAGCACCTCGAAACGGGGCAGCAGCTGATCCTTGGGGGTGGCCTTGTCCAGCTCCAGCCACAGTTGCTGCTGGCACTCCGGATACCTGCCGAGCTGTACAGAGACAAGTCTAGGATTAGCCGAAGGTAGCTACGGCAGCAAAGGCAATTCACCAATAGCAGGCAGTGGGCGATGGTCGAGGAGCTGGTGTCCAGGCCATCGAACATGAAAGTCATGGCATGGGAGGTGAGCTGCTCTTCGGTGAGCTGATGCTGCCGCTGCATGTCCAGCAGATGGTTGATGAAATCGTTGCGCTCCTGTCGCCGGCAACGCCTCAGATGGAAGGACTGCCGCACCAGATCGCCAAAGAAGCGCTCATATGAGGGCGGCACGATCTTGGGCCTGAGGCAGCGCGGCAGCCGCGGAAAGAGCCCGTTCAGAGCACCCGACAGAGCCAGGCGGTAATTCTCCTCCGACATCTCCTTATTGTGCTGCGCCACGGGCAAGCGGCTATCCGTAAAGCTGCGTGCCTCGATGCCTAACACGCAGTCTAAGAGATTCTCGCTGGTAAAGCGCAATCCCAGCTGGAACCATAAAAATATAATGAAACTAACCAGCCAACAAGGGATATCGCAATGAGTAACATTGAAGACTCACATCTGTGCCATCGAAGGGCTGACCGCTCCTTGACTGCTCATCGATGTAATCGCAGAGCCGGCCGCAGATCCGCTGCATATTGCTGTAGGCATTGCGTATGCGCCCGCTGGTCAATAGGGGCGAGAAAATACCGCGCTGCTGCCGCCACTCATCGCCATCCAGTACAAAGGGATTGCACGCTATGAACGGATCCTTCCGTGTGTCCACCATGCGCGAGGCATCGTTGTTTTCGAAGCATCGAAAAGCACTCACGAGCACCTCGTTGATCAGCTTCGGCTCCAACAACAGCAACTTAGGTGCTCTCATCAGGTAGGCACCCACATAGCTGTGCGTCGAGCGGTACTGCCTATAAATTAGAGAGTGCCCAGTGATGAAAATAAGAGAAAGAAGAACATAAAAGAGGTGGATGAGGAAGGGAAAGCTGGAAAAAGAATCCTAATTGAGAAACATTAGAGGAAGAAAAAGAAGAGGAAGAGGAACAGTAAGAGTAAAGAGACAGGAAGAGTGAGGGAACAAGAAGAGGAAGAAAAGAAACACAACAAGTAAAAGGGGAAGCTAGAGAAGCGAAGTTGGAAAGGAAGCTGGAGAAGAATCTGATGGGGAAGCTGGAGTGAGAACCCTCACTGACAAACATTAAAGAAAGAAGAAGGAAGAGGAGGGCAAGCAATGGGAAGCCGAAGGGGAAGATGAGAGATAAGAGAGCATTTTATGAAAGAGGAAGGAAAGGTAAAGGAAATCTTGAAAGAGGAAGAGGAAACAATACATCATCATATCCACATCCTAGTCCCATCTGATGCCGCACTCACATATAAAGATCACGCATATCGTTCAGGAAATGTCGCCTCGGCCACACCATGTTGGGAAAAGATCCCAGCAGAGGCAGGGCGTACGGCTCCCAAACTCCACGTCTGCGCCAGTGTCCAAAGTTCCATGCGAGAAACACGAACAGCGCGAGGAACAGCACGATGAGCACCAGCAGCAGAGCGTGTAACATGCCAGCTGAGAGTCCGGACGAGCGTTGACTGACAACTGACTCCATAATAGCATCGAGTTGCATTCGGATGGGAGCCACCACTTCAGTCAATGGCTGACCAGACGTTACGTCGCGTTATGCAATAGCACACGACAATTTTCTGGATTGATTGACGTTGCGAAATTGCTAGATTTTCATTATCAAATTAGATGCTAAATGTACTGTTAAATGTGTGGGTGTGTGTGTGTGTGTGTGTGTAGCACGTGTCTACTATTATTAGCTTTGAGAGGAATATTCAATATATATATAGGTAATACTATGAATATCAATAAAACTTGCTAACGATATATTCATATTGATTAGCCTATTGACTAGTCTAGTCTTACTAGACAGCAACAAATATTATTAACTAATGACGATTTCTGAATTCAAACGATATTCTTTAACGGCCAAAGGGCTATCGATACACAATTGGAATGCCTTGGTGTTAATTATCATAACAAATAGGATCACATTCATTTTATCATATTCATTTTATCTTTTCGCTAGCACGCTGAGTTATTATCATTCTACATAGTTGGTCTTTCAATCAGCTTAGTGTGAACCGATTTCGTTGGGCTTTTTCGGATCAATTAATCATCTAAGCGGTTGGAGCGTCTGTATAAAAATATTTGATTTCGCTGCACCGATTAAATGGCAGCTCTTTAAAGCCGGGAGCTGAAAACATTAATCACAAGTCTGGCCCAGCCGCAACTAATTGGCAATGTTCAAGAAGGTCAGTTTTAACAAACTAAATTCCCATTTCACCTTTGCACCGGCGACATTGACATTGTTATCCGAAACGTAACCAATCGACCGATCAATTGGCGATTCGGAATCTACATTTAGGGCCGCTTTAAGTATTACGCTTACGTCGGACATCGAGATTGAAGGTATTTCAATCTGACCGCAGGGGGTGAATTGCTTTGATACCCGTAGCACGCAATAGTTGAGCAAGTAATTGCCTATTAATACGTAGCTGGCTGAAAGTGTTCAATCAAAGCACTATTAAATTAATAAAACTTAAATATTTGTAAATATTTGATTTCACAGCTAATGCTCACGATTCCATTAAATTAGTTTAAACAAGCTCAAATGGCTCATGATAGCATGTATGTTTCCTCAATTATTTGTTAGAGCAAAGCAAATTAAATAACTATAGTTTATGCAATCAACCGTTACGTTTTTAAGGCAAAATTAAAGATTCTAGTGATAAAATCATTTTTCGGCTCGATCCACTAATTTTGTATAAAATTAAATACAAACAAGCTATAAAATATATTATCTATATATAATATAAGATATGCACTTTTAAATGTCCGTTACTAAACAATTTTTCAGAAATTAATAGCTGGCGCCATCTATTGGCGTTACTCATCCACTATAGCGATACCATCAATTTTTTTGCATTTCAACTTATCGCAATAAAACATCGAAACCCTTTGCATTGCACAATTATCGATACGTTCTTGGAGTGCAATTCCTTTGTAAATGCAATCGATGTGCGATATATTTAAAAATAGCATCAACAATCATTGTGGTATTGTATCGCCATTTTTAGGTACACCGACGCGTTTCATATTCAATTAAATTCTACTTATATTGGGTTGACATGGTATGTAATATCTTAAATGCCATTATGTGCACTCTATAATTTCAATTCGTCATGTTGCAGCTGAAAGCGAACTGCCTTGGCTCTTGGCTAGGCCTTGTGGTTGCGGCTTCGGTGCTTTGGCCAGTGACCCTCATCAACGGCTATGACAAAGAAATGACTGTGTATGTGGATGCCGGCAAAAAAGAGTGCCTGTACCACAATGTCAAGGTGGGTGAGATAATCTATTTCGAATACCAGGTAATAGATGGTGGCCACGGTGACCTGGATATCAGCTTTGCGCTCCTCGATCCCATCGGCTTGGTCATCGTGAGCGACTACAAAAAGCCGGAGAATATGCACCAGCACACGGTGCAAAAGGAGGGCGACTACCGATTCTGCTTTGATAATAGCTTCAGCATGTTCAATCGCAAAACTGTCTTCTTTGAGTTGATAGTGGAGCGCGAAGGCGATCAAAATCATGGCGACGACCAGTGGAAGGACGTTGACGAGCTAACGGGCCTAACTCCCGACGAGTATTACGAGATGAAGGTGCAGGACATCATGGATTTCATTGGCCGCATACGCATGCAGCTGACCAAGGCACGCCAGCTGCAGGATGTGCTGCGCTCACATGAGGCGCGCGATCGCAATCTGGCCGAGGCTAACTTCCAAAAGGTGAACAACTGGTCCCTGGTGCAGATCAGCGCCATGATCGGCGTTGGACTCATTCAGGTTTTTATGCTGCGCAGCATATTCGAGACGCATGGCCGGATGCATCAGCTGTGGCGCAAATTGGGCATTTGATGAGGTTAATAATCGTCAATCTTCTCTAGCGTTTACCAAAGAAGTTCTTTGCATTTAATCATTTACCACGTAGAGGATGCAAATTGTTAAATATTAGTCACAAACTCCTTATCAACAACATAGTTACTAGCATTAATTAAGTTCTGAGTGTGTGTGCGTATGTGTGTGTGTGTGTGAGAGTGCGCAGGTGTGTGTGTGTGCATTTATTATACAAAAGCAATTGTAATATAAGTTAAGCCATTGGCATCGGGCGAGCCCTGAGCCATCTTTAATAAATAAAGTGTTAATGTAGAGGAAACATAATATTTTGTCTATCTATAACTACAATATGTTTGCATAATACAGCAATTGGACGTATCCCAATTGGATGTGTTCCAAGTCGGATGATAATCAATTTTAAGCGTCTTGTAAATGCGTCCTTTTCTATTTTAAAGTTAGCTTCTATCGTGCAGACAATATGTTGCACGCGCTCATCTCTAATAAAGCTGTTACTTCACAGGTAGCCAACTTGATACCATAGGAAGGCAATAGGCATTAACTTCATAATTATTAACTTTAATATGAAAATTTATGTGATTCCAGTTTTGTTAATCGAACCTTTGCGGGCTCATTCCTAATGGAAGATCTTTGATCCGTTTTAGCCGGCACTTAAAATCCAATTTTAGTTTGGTTTGAAGTTTTCTTTTTCATTTAATTTACTAAAAAAAAAAAAACAGATCCATATTATTACTAGGCATAATATTTATTGAAATTTCCTTCTCTTGCGACGGGCAGTGTGTGGAGTTACTAAACGTGTGAAGGTTTCTGTTGGGTTGCTCCGATCTGCTGTGGTGCACTTGCACCTGCTCCGCTTGTCGCTTTGAACTCTGAACTGAATGCTTAAGCTTAGCCCTGCTTGTCGAGGCGCTTCTGGCGCTCCAGCAACCGGCGTTCACGTTCAAACTCCTTCATTCGTAGCACATAGTCCTCGTATTCGCAGGTGAGATAGTCGTGCTTCTCGTGCGCACACTGATAAACGAAAGGGAATTTTTCAGCACGGCAGCCGCGATAGGCGAGCAGCTTATGGGCACAATAATCACGCTCTTTCGCTGTCAGCTTGGCCGATACCATTTCCTCTTCGGTGGCTATCATGACGCGCTCCTTGCGTGAACCAAAGCCCAGCATGGGATCGAAGCTGGGCACCACATCTGGGCCGGGCGTTACGTCTGGCTTCAAATAATGATTGAGAGCGTTGCCCATCCTGTGCTAGGCGGTAGAAACACATACGTTAAATCCATGCAAATTGCAATAGAAAATAACAAAAATAAATTACGTAAAATGTTTCTCCTCGATTGTTGCTGCTGCGGCGCTGCTGTCACTTCAGCTGTTGTTGTTGTAGGCTATTTGACAGCTGTTGTGATGCAGGGCTGCAAAAATAACAATTTCGTGCACGAACAATCGATAAGCATGGTTGTAACATATTTTTAAATAAAGCGCCTCGATGAAATTAAGCTCACAGTAAGGCAGATGTTTTATTATTAAAATTAAATTCAAACCAGCCGAAAGTATATTATCTGAATGATTTTAAGCTGTATACATTTGCTTATCGATGATATCGATGATGGCTCCATTTCAGCCGCAAAAAAGGTCCTGTTGCCTGTTATCGATAAGTAGATGGCTCGCATAGCCAGTGGTGCAATCATACAACAAGAAATATGCATTAAGTTCGCCAATAGACTAGTTAATTTCTTAGTTATTTTGTAAATGTTTGTGCAATAAAGTTGAGCCAAAAGTCAAGCTGACAAAGCGCTTAGCTCTTAATTTATAGTTATTCGGTGGCAAGTGTGCGTCTCCCAACAGAAAAGTCGGTAGTCGGTCTATAACGGTATAAGCTATAACGGCATACACATGTACATACAGAGGATATACGTGTATATATATATCTGAAGCGCATACATAAAATCGATTTGGGGGCAACCGCAACGCAAGAGGCAACACATTTGCAAATTGCTTAAGCGCAATGGTTGGATTATTGAATCCAATGAAATATGGCGATCATTTCTATGAATTGTACACAAGCAATACACGCAGGTAAGTGTAAATAAGAACAATGGGCCATCCGGCGGGGTGGTGGCGGCTGCGGCCGAGGATGTGTCGGCGACATTGCATCTGGGGTTGAAAAAATCGATCGATTTGCTTTTGGCCCAATGTATGTATGTGTATGTAGGTCTTCAACCCCTAGCTGGGCGGCTCTGCCTGTTTCGACGGGGTTGAAATTTGGCGCCTGCAGTTTTGCACGACAAGTGGGCAGCACTGGCATGAACAGCTGATCGATAACAGCTGTTCGCGACCTGCATTAATTTGTTTGTTGTTAAATCGATAAGCTACTGTGTAATGTATGTATGTACATATGTATGTGTGTACATACATATGTATGTATAAGCAAAGCAGCTTAATCGATGCCCAAAATTTAAAGACCCGACCCAACTTAATATTCCTCGCCCGCTCTCTACTACTAAACTCTCACTCTGACTCACTCTCACTTTCGCATTCTCTCTCTATCCCTCTCTCACACGCAGAAAGTTGCAAAATGAGCGCAAGGCTCTTACGAAGCGCAAGAGCCGCAAGGAGAAATCGGCAGCAGCGATGGCAGCCGCCGCTGCAGCTGCTGTGCTGGAAGGAAATGCAGCTGGCGGCGCGGGAGCAGGCATTGTAAACCCATTGGATCCGCCGTTGGTTAAGGACCAGTTGCTGTTTATGCCGGCATTTCCGGTGGCCCACATTGAACTCGATCCAAATGCATCGAAATTTGCCGTTTTCGCAGCAATACGCTCCACTGTGCTGGAGGCAGAGACACGCTTTGCGCTCTTCCATGAGAGCAATGGGCATGGCGCCATGGCCACTGCATCAGCGCTCAAGAAATGGAGCGGGAATATGGGCTCGTCCTGCTGTTTGGTCTGTGCAGGCAGCTGTATGGTCAGCAATCTGGTTGATTGCTCCTGTCACGCACCGCTTGCAGTGGGAGCCGGTGGCGGCGGTGCCGCAGGTGCTGCAGCAGCGGGAGCCGCTGGTGCAGCTGGTGGAGGGGCGGACAAGCGCACGACAAACAGCGCCAATAGCGACGCCGACTCGGACACAGATGAGCCGGAAGAGCGCGAACCGGTCTATGCCACTGTCCCGCTAATTGTCGGCGCTGGACTGCGAAGTTTGTTCGAGCTGATCGCGGACGCACGCCATATCCAGCCGTTGCTCTGCACCAAGGCATTAAAAGCGCTACTCGACGTCATTCAGGGTCAGCAGCCGGAATCGTTTAAGCTTGAGCCCGAGGATCTGATTAATCCGCTGTACGATCTGCTGCTGGATCTGGCCACCATGCCTGCGGCGCTCACCTCGAGCACTGGCGCCGAGGCCAACTGGTCAGCGATGGCATGTGCCGCTCTCCTTGGCCTCTGCATTGCGCGCGGCGACACCGGCAAAATGCTAAAGGCAATCGCCGCCATGCTCATGTCCCCACGGCAGCTCTCCGCCCAAATTATCCAACTGCCCGCCGTATTGGCCTCTCTGCAGCATACGGTAGTGAGTGCAGCACTCAACAAGCCAACTCGTCCAGACTTCCATACCCATGGAGTGCCACACAATTCATTAATCGATGAGGTGAGTAATGGTAGGACTAAAGATCCCCATGAGACATGAGTGCTTGAAATGAAAGTATTAGATCAGGGAACATTCATCAATTGAAAGAACCAACTTGGAAGTTCTTCTTTCACTGAGGACTCAGAGGAAATAGAAAAACATTGCACCTATAGTAATTATATAGTTGAACATCTTCATATAATACTAGACTTTTTTAAGATATATGAAAATTGTGTAATGTATAAAAGATCTACTGAAACATATGAACCTCAGATGAACGTCATTCTAATACGTTGTTCAACTTTTTGCAGTTCACCTTGAAGCTGCCTGTACTGACGGCTCCCCAGCAGCATATGGCGCCGGCCATGGCTTGCGATGGCGTGTTTGTCTATGTGCTATACGGTGGTGCATTGCTGAAGATCGGCACCGGCTTTGGGGGCTCCTACAAGGGGCACATCTATGCACAAAACGACGAGTTCTGTCGGGAGCGCAGCGCCTGGCTGGGCTACAGCGGCGGCCAATTGTACTTTCGTCGCAATTGCAAGCGAAGCGCGGATCAGCTGCAGCTGGTGGGCATGGACACGCTGGCGGTCAAGTCAATGAATCCACTCAACATGCTCTCAATGCGCGAAGGCCTCAACTATGTGCTCTTCACGGACGACGATTCATTGCATGCCATTTGCAGTAATCGTGATGTGAGTAAAAGTCATTATCTGTATTATCTATAATCACCAAATATCATACATATGCAATTGAGGTTAGGTCTGAATATAGAATATGAGTCATCCCATAAGAAGAGCAACTGAGTAAATTGCTAACTATATACATATATACATATGTATGTAAATATGTACATATGTCATAGAAAAAAGGAGTCCCATATTATAACAAAAAATCATTATATATATAGTTCTGATACTATCACTGTTTATAATATAATGATGATGATGATACTAAAACTATGCAAATCGATTTGTTAATCAATATAATTAAGATGTAGTGTTGCCTAGTTCTGCGTCGTCTTAGCAATAGCAGATTAGTTTCTGTATGTCTTGAAATTTATTGGATTAAAATCGGAGTTTACATAGGTGAGATATAGATTTTTAAGAAATGTTAGACCCATTTAAGTTGGAAGACCGGAAAAGCATTCAAGAAGGTGTAGGCTCTAGCTTCTCAAGGGATACTGATGGGATGGATTTTATTGGGATTTGTAGAGCCCCAGATGCAAATTAGCCATTCGATCTACCATTAGGTGAGAGAAATCTTTAGATGCCCTAACTGATGGAAAATTCTCTTAAGGAAAGGAAACAACAGGATAACTTCCAATAAGAAACCTTCATTAGGCTAAAGTAACTGTAATCACCTTACTTACCAATCATGTCTCTTCGCAATTGCAGGACACGCTGGTGGTGAAGAAACTGAATCTGTACCACAATAGCTACAGCAGCGAGCCGCCGCCATTCGAGCTGCCGTTGCAGTTGGCCCGCAAGAAATTCCGAACGCTGGGCTATGCGGCGTTCGAGGATGAGCTGCTCAATCAGCAGCAGATCCAGCGCATTCAGTCGGCGCACAACAGCTTTGAGCCGAAGCTGCCGGCGCCGTGTCGCGATGCCGATGTCCTGGGCATGGCCTGCGGCAAGGAGTTTGGCATCGTGCGCGCCAGCAATGGCCGTGTCTACTACTATGGCAAGCCGGCGGCTCTTGGACTGAAGTGTGTGGGCCGCACACCGACACTGAAGCTAACCGAGCTGATTGTCTCGAAGGCGGCCAACATTGTCCATGTGGCCGTGGGGCACGATGGGATACATGCGCTGCTCGTCAACGACGATGGCACCGTCTACTTTGCGGGCACGGCACGCCGGGGCGAGGATGGCGACAGCTCCAAGAATCGCCGTCAACCGAAAGCTGTGAAACCGAAGAAGATGAGCAAAATCGATGGCCATGTGGTGGTGCATGCCGCTTGCAACAACGGCACCTCCGCCTTTGTGACCAAAACGGGCAAGCTGATCATGTACGGCAAGGATACGGCCCACTGCGATTCGATGGGCTTTGTCAGCGAGCTGCTCGATCAGCACATAACCAAGGTGGCCCTGGGCAAGGCGCATTGCGTGGCACTGAACGCCAAGGGGCAGGTCTTCACCTTTGGCCTGAACAACAAGGGCCAGTGCGGGCGGGTGTTCAACAAAATGATGCCCGTTCGGGATGTGCCCAGCTCTTCGGCTGCCTACGCGCTGCTCGGCTTGCATGGCGACAAGCTGCGGCACAAACTGGACTTCTCGACGCTCTGCGACTACGACGATCACAATTTGGTGCAGGGCCAGTGCCGCGTGTGCGTCATGTGCCGCGAATGCACCGGCTACAATGTCAGCTGTGTCTCGGCGCTGAATGTGCCGCTCGAGCAGCGTTTGGCCGGCAGCATTTGCCCCTGCGGCCATGGCGACGCAGGCTGTGCCAAATGCGGCCTGTGCGCCGCCTGCGTGGCGCTCCAGGAAAGCGAGATAGGTGAGAAAAGTCTGCATTTAATTATATGCCTTGATTGCTTTTAACGACAGTATTTTTCGAACTCTTGCAGTAGCCGCAGATGCCAAGGCGGAGCTGAAGCCGCTGCCCGGCGAGCTGCAGCGCCAGCAGCGCTCCAAGACGCTCATCATGCGGCGCAAGGAAAAGAAGCCCTCGGAGCTGGAGACGGGCGCCGCTGGCTGTGCCGGCGGTGGCGGCACACCCACCGACCTGGACAAGGACCCACCGCGTGTGGCACCGCTGGCGCCGCAAGTGCTGCAGCTGCCCAGCACGTCGCCGGTGGTGCAAGTGGCGTGCGGCCTACACCACACCGTGGTGCTCACCCTGGCCGGCGAGGTATTCACCTTCGGCAGCAATCAGTACGGTCAGCTGGGCAGCGGAGATCTGCAGGCAGTCACTGGAGCGATCCGTGTGCAGGTGCAGGGCGCCATTAGCCAGGTGGCTGCTGGCAGCAACCACACCGTGCTGCTCACACACAAGGGCGTTGTCTACACATTCGGCAACTACCAGAAGGGACAGCTGGGCCGGCTGCCCGGCGACTATGGCCAGAAGACGGTGCCGAACAGTGTGATTGCCCAGCAGCAGCAGTTGCAGCTGCAGCAGCAACAGCAGCAGGACGATGAAACGGCCACACAGGAGGCCGCCTGCGTGCTACCCGGTGGCTCCAAGGAGACCATCCTCATACCGCCCAACACAGCTGCCCTCATAGCGCAGCGCCAGAAGTTTCTATGGAACTGTGCACCCGGAGCCGTCTTGTAAATATCGCTTGGCTCTTGATAACTCATGCATCAATTACTTATGTTTGTATTCCATGTTGCAGCGGTTTGGGCCCCAGCTATGGCAAAAAGGTCACCTGGATCGGCGCCAATGGCGACCAGACCTTCATCAAGATTGACGAGTCACTGATCACAGCTCAAATGCTGCCCAAGATGCACGTGGTGGCCAACAAGAAGACCATATGTTAGTATATGCCCTAAATTATGGCCAAAAGCTATGAATCCATCCATATATGTATCTGCCCAGGACTGCACATTGTACCCACTTTATAAGCCTTCCTCCTGGATACATAATAGTCTAATTCATTCATTGGTATACTAATTGGATAAGCCCAACTAACCATTCGTCTGTCTCTTCTGTCTTTGTAGTACTCATACCCAGCATACCGCTGTCCTTTCATACGCTCTCCATAAACCGCAGCGACGGCAGCTGCACGCCCCATTATCGCGGCCAAACCAACTTTTCCAAGCTGCTGCAGACGCAGCAGCAGCACGGGCAACCGGAAATCAATCGGAATGTGGATGTGGCGACGCCTTTGATGGCCGACCTGCCGTCGGTCGGCAGCAGCACGGCTGGGGTGCCCATCAATGAGCAAATGTCGCGCAGCATGCACGAGGCACGCAATCACATTTTCGAGGATCAGCATACGGAGGTGGCTCAGCCAACATCGCTGACGGCCAGCCCGCGACTCCCACGACGCATTCGACCCCGTCCAGATGCAGCAGCAGCCGCTGCCTGTCCAGCCGCTGCATCGCCCACTGAGCAGCATACGCTGCCCACGCAAATAGCCTTTGCCATGGATCCCAGCTACAACGTGCTCTGGGTCTTCGATGGTGTTGCCCGTAAGCTGCGCTGCCACAATGTGGTCGCCAGCGAAATATCCGAATGTGATGTGGTAGGTGCTGCGACCTGCATAGATCTCTCTCAGATGCTAATCTCTCGTTTGCCTATTTGCAGAATGCCGCCAATTATCGAGCGCTGCTGTCGCCGGAGCTGTCGCTGCCGTGCAAGGCCGAGGCGCGTGTGTCACGCTCGCAGGCATCGCTGAATCTATTGGCCTGTTTGGATATACTGACATCCGCACAAGATAATATACCCGGCTGCTTTGAGCAGGCGCTGCCGCAGCAGACCCAGCAGGCGGCAGAGGCGCAGACCGGCGAGTATCAGGTTGTGAATCGCTTCGATAACTTTGGCGGCGGCTGGGGCTATTCGGGTCACAGTGTGGAGGCGGTGCGCTTCTCAGCGGACACGGACATTGTGATTTGCGGATTTGGCATGTTTGGCGGACGTGGCGAATACAGCTGCAAGCTGAAGCTATTCGATCTGGGCACCGATGGCGGTGGCTACGAGAAGGAGGGCATCCTCATCAGCGAGACCAAGGAGGTACCATACGAGTGCGCCGCGCGCAGCAAACACCACATTTTGCTACCGAAGCCGGTGAGTGCAGCGGCTGGACGCTGGTATTTGGTGTGGGCGCGCATCGCGGGCCCCTCCTCGGACTGTGGCTCCTGCGGCCAGGCGTCTGTGACCACCGAGGATCAGGTGGTCTTCTCGTTCAAGTCCAGCAAGAAGGCCAACAACGGCACCGACGTCAACTCCGGCCAAATACCCGCCATACTCTATCGTCTGGTCACACAGGACTGCAAGCAGCCGTCGCTGCCCCACGACGCGGATCCCGTGCAGCGTATTTCGCGCGCCTTCGCCAACAGCGTGAGCCGCGAGTGCTTTGAGAGCTTGGTGGTGCTGCTCAGCTGGTCATGGGACTGCTTTAAGACTCAGCTACGCGAGCAGCGGGATCGTGCTAGACCATTGCAGTTGCAGCAAACGCTTCAGTATCTGGGCTATGTTAATAAATCCTGTCTGCGACTGCTGCGCAAATACACCAACGAGATTTATCCGCAGCGCGCAACAACAGCGTCAACAGCAACAACAGCAGCAGCAGCAGCATCAGCAGCAGCAGGTACATCAGCAGCAGCAACTGCTGCGACAGCTAGCACTTCAGCCGCGGGTGGAGCTGTTGCCGCCGCTCTCTCCAAGCTGCAAAAATCGAACAGCAAAGGTATTAATCAATCAATCAAACAAATTACGCTGCTGCCTCAGCTCTAATCGCTTGTGCTCCTTACAGACAAATCATCAAATCGGGCTGCCAGCAATGCGGGCAGCGCCCAGTTGACCAGCTCTCTGTCCGGCACATCGATGACACGCAAACCCAATATGGAGAACATTCAGCTAGCCGAATGCATTGGCAATGTTCGCGCTCTGCTCATTGGCATCTTTTGCGATGACATCTTCAAGGATATTGCCACCGATGAGGGTGAGTGAATCAGTATGCATATCTGTACATATGTACTCATGTCTAACACGAATGCTCTCTTCCATTTAATACCAGGCTATGCCTTGGTCCTGGAAATTCTCGACGAATGCCATTTGAGCTTTGTGGCCTGCTTTGATGCATTCTATCCGACTTCGTCGCTCAAGTGGAACTGCCTGTGCGATTTGTTGGCCCAAATGGACCGCGGAGCACTGCACTCCCGCCTGCTGAGCGCGATCCTAGCCGGGCTCTGCTCGCCCACGGTGAAGCTACGCGCCACGTTCTCCCTGCTCAATGCGGCCGGCAATGAGCGTCAGTCGATCATCAGCCCAAGCGACAATTCGGGTCTGCCCATGCTATCCTCAACGGAGGCGCATCAGTATCCCATACTTGTGGAGCAGATGATCTATCGCACGCAGCAGGAGAAGAGCGACTTTCTGAGCAACTCGTGGACGTTCAAGGATGTGCTGGTGCGTCTGCTGGACATAATAGCCAATCCAATTAGGGCGCGAATCGAGTCGATCTACAGCCGCTGCCTGGGCGGCAGCTATGCGCTAAAGGAGTGCATCAATCAGGGCCTCATCGATAACTGTTGCCATCTGCTGGCCCGCGTGCTGGCCGAGATTGTCTATCAGACAGCTCTGGGCGAGTACGATAAATTGTTTCTGCCGCCTCGTACGCTGCACTCGACCAGCTCGCGGTTCGCACGCTGCGATTTGAGTCGCACCTGGAACACGGGCAACTTTGGACCGGACGCGATTGCCTTCTCGGTGGATCGGCCGGGCATAGCCATAGCTGGCGCCATGGTCTACTCTGGCTCGGGCAGCTATGACTATCAGTTGGAGCTGCTATATGATAACACAGTTGACCTGCAGCCACAGCACAAGTGGGAAACACTGGAGTCCATATCAGGCAGCTACGATCAGGAGGCCGTGCACAATGATTTAGCCGAGATTAAGTTTGAGCATCCGGTCCATATCAAGGAGCATGCGCGCTACGCTCTGCGCCTCTGCTCCCAGGGTGCGCGCACCTGCTCCGGCGATGCCGGCATGCCCTCGGTTCGCGGTCCCTGCGGCGTCAACTTTCATTTCTATGCGTGCGACTTGAGCTTCAATGGCACCACGCCCGCGCGCGGCCAACTGCCCATCATACTCTACTACAGCACGCCCGTCAAGCAGCACCAGCAGCATCAGCACCAGCACCAGCACCCGCACCAGCATCTGCAGCAGCAACAGCAGCCCGAGTTGACGGGCTGTACGTCAGATGGTGCACATGTCGGCGCCTTGGCCAGCAACGAGGTGTCCACGCGGGACACGGCCTTGCAAATCGCCGCGGACATAACCAAAAAGTGCACAGAGCTGCTCATACTGGCGCGCAATGCCATGGCCGCCTCCTGCTCGCCGACGGACAACTCGTCGTCGAACCATACGCAGACCATTGATTCGGAGCACAATATAACGCCCATTGAGGAGCACATGGACATTAATTGGGCAAACAATTCGCGAACAGCGGCGCTGCCTGTGGATCCACAGCTGTCGACGACGGCAAGGGATCTGGGCAAACGTATCGAGTCCTTCTCCAAGGGCATCATGGAGACGCTGAAGTTCGATAAGCGCTCAACGAATCCCTTCGAAATGGAAATCGAAATTGGGGCCACCGAAATCGGAGTCGAGGAGACGGCCGAAATGAATTTCTCCAATGTGCAATTGGCCGCCAAGCTCAATGGAAATGAGCGTGCCGAGTACGAGCTGGCGGCCGAGGAGCCGTTGCCCGGACAGCAGCAGCAGCAGCAACAACAACAGCAGCTACAGCTGCAGCAGCAGCAGCAGCAGCAACAGTTGCCGCCACAGCAGCTGCAACATCAACAGCAGTTGCCAACGCAGATGCCACAGCAACTGCTCCACTCGGACTCGGAGGAGGCGCAAATTGTGGGCGGCGGTGTTGCCGCTATGCAACTGCTGGAGGTGTTCAATTTGTCCGCCTCGAATATGTTTCACACGCTGCTGCCGCTGGTCTATGCGCACATCTCCAATTTGGCCTGCAGCGATCCAAAGAGCTCGGTGCAAATCCTTGGTCTGATCAAGGAGATATTGCCGCACATTGCAGCGCTCAATCAGCTGCATGTGTCGAAAGACCAGCGCTCGGAGCAACTGAGACCGGAACCAACGCCTGCCAGCAGCACCACCAGCAATCATTATTGCATTGTGGAGAGCGAGCATCCGTATCGCAGCGCCAGCATCAGTTGCTATCGGGTCGAGTTTCCGCCCTGCGTCCAATGGCTGACCATTGAGTTTGACTCACAGTGCGGCACTGCCCAGCTCGAGGACTATTTGCTGCTCTCGATTCCCATGCGCCCGACGGCGTCGCCAGCCGCTGCCACACCGCCCTGCCAATCGACCACAACGCCAACAGCAGCAGCAGCAGCAGCAGCAGCGTCTACTGCCCCTGGCGAGGAATACTATGATCTGCTCGATAATAATGTGAGCACACGACGCACACACAACGCCCACTTACAGATGACCAGCTGCTGTCGCACGACCGGCTCTCTGCCCGAGCCGGCAGCGGCCGATCCCGACTGGATTGTCGTCAAGAAGTTCAATACGTAAGTTGAGCTCAATGCCATGCCATAATAATATCCATATAGCGCTTATCTGATATATGTACGTCTGTTGCTTACAGCGCCTCCAACTGGCTGCAGAACGTTCTCATTTTGCCTGGCAACTGCGTTGAGTTCTCCTTGGAGACGGCCTCACTGTACGCCCAGGATCCGCACAATAATCGCTATGGCTTCAAGTGCCTGGTGGTTGGCTATGATAATCCCACAGCGGTGAGCTTGGCATCAACCATCTCTGTTTAAACTATTCAAAACTATTTCCCTCTCGCTCAGATCAATGCTAGCAACTCATGTCTCATACGGCTGGAGCAGGAGCTGTCCTATCTGGGCGGCATGTGCAGCGCTAATTTAATGAAAAAGGATCTCAATCTGCCGGGTAAGAAGCTATTGATATTCATACCTTTAATTATATAGCTATTCTCATTCTCCATATATCATGCAGAAGACAAGGAAGTAGACGACATGAGTGGCGTTGAGGAGACAATCAGCACGCATCATGCACTCCTCTCGAAAGGCTTTGCGCTCTCCGAACCACAGCTGACTGTGCATCAGGCGCTGGAATCATATCTGCCCATTGGGTAAGTAGTAGAGCCTATATCTAGACAATGATGACAAGTCAAACTATCTTGGAAAAATGATCTACATATTTTTCACAGTGCGAGTGATTTTCTTTCACAAAAATATGATATGCATACATATATTATTATTCTTTACAGATATAAACGTGTTTTTATATACAGAAATAAGTTTCAGATATGCGTATTTCCCTACATTTCGGAGTCGAACCTATCAAATACTTTAGCATTGACAGTTAGTGTAAATTTAGTTAAAATATGCCCATTCAACAGACCTAGTTTACATTCTGGATTCGTAGAAATGTTAACATCACATTTATGTTAAACAACATTCGATCAGTACTGCTACAGGTTGCCTTCTTATTGCAAATACATCTAACTTGAGATTGACTTCTTTGTTTATATTTATAAAAGAATCGCATTCTCTATATACAACTTATATAATTTAGGGATTAACATATGTTTAGTGATTACTATAGATAGGATTATTTCGATTATGTTAAGCGTTATAAGCTAAACGTACGCTAAAAATTTGGTACAACAAAAGGTCACTCTTGGTGGTTCTTGGTGGTGGTGGTGGTGGTGGTGGTGTTACCGCTCCGCTTAAGCTAGCGTCTTTCAGCTGTATATATATGTGTGTGTGAGCGTATGTGTATATGTGTGTATGTGTATGGCTTTACAGATCAGTCTTGAGCAGGCCAGCGTTCTCGATTTGGTATACAATTTGTGTCTCTTTGTAGGTGCGTGGCTCTGGCTGCACCACATCCAGCTTGCGTCGTCGACGCTGTTGCGCCAGCCACCACCAGAGCAGCAGCAGCAGCAGCAACACCAGCAGCGCCAGCAGAACGCTGCCCGCCACAATATACGCCGTATAGCTAGGCTTTTGGCACTGCTCGGCGATTAGCTGGCGCAGCGGCACAAATGGTGCTGGCACCACCTGCGGCTCGTTGGCAACGGCACGGAACATCAGCTGCTCGCTGTGCTGGCGAAAGAATTCGGCATGCGGCTGCGGCGGCTGAACAGTCATATCCAGCTGCTCACAGCTCCAGACATTCTCGTATCTCAGCTGCCGTATGCTCAGAGCGAAGCGCTCATCGAAGCGCAATGGCTGAGCCGCTACTCCAGGCACCTTGCCGCCCGGTGGCAGACTCTGCACCGTGTTGTTGTGGAAGCGCAGCTCCAGCCGTTCGCTCAGCTGATAGTCGCGATGCACGCCCAGGCTGCGGAAGGCTATCTCGCTGGTGGCACCAAACCGATTGCCTCGCAGCGTAATCGCGTCCTTGATGTAAGCCTCCAGCCATTCCCCATCCACGGCCGCGAAACGATTCTCGCTGAGACTCAGCTTGGAGATGACTGCGGGCCACGAAACGGATATAGATTAGAAATGCAATAGTCTCGGTATCTATGTGTATATGTAGCTAATCAGTGTGGCTTACGCTTGAAGGAGAAGGCGTGCGAGTGCACCTCCTGGAACTGATTGTTGTGCATCGCCAGCTCGCTGCTCACCTCCAGCTCGTAGAAGGCGCGCGTCGGCAAATTCCCGACGAAATTGCAATTGCTTATTATCAGTTTCTCCACGGCGAATTTCTTAAAGGCCTGAAAAGTTGTAATAATTATACATATATTCATAAGAGATGCCAGCTGAAAAAGGAAAGAGTTTCTTTCATCCTCTCTTGGGCCGGGGCCGAGCAAAGAGAATGGCTCGATCTCAGCCTATAAATTGATATCAAGAGGCTTTCCGATCCTTATAGTAAATCCAATTGTACTTTCCCCTTTATATGAGAAGTCTCAATAGCTCAATACATTTTAGTAAGTATTCACAAATTGAAATGGGACTCTTTCCTTTCACTATGATAAAATGGATATATTTCGGTGTCTCACCTGACTCTCGATGCGCTGTATGGTGACGCCGTCAAGCTTGAGCAGAATGGCAGTATCCTTGATGGTGGTGAAGCCGAATGGGTGCATTTGCTCGATGCGGCCACGGGTGAATGAGATCTCCTCGATGTTGCCGCTGATCGCATGAGAGGCGATCAACTGAAAGTTGACGTCCTCGAAGTCAACAATGAGCGCCTTGTTGCTGGCATCTCGGGGCACGCTCAATGCATTCTGCTGCAGCACCAGACGCTGCAGCTGCTTGAAACTGATCTTGCGCAGGCCTTCTGTATTATCCAAAGCGTTTGGCTCCACAGTCAAATCGCGACAATTGCGTATGACGACCTGAAAAACGGCGCCATGCAGCTGTGGCAGCACCATGGGCTACAGTGGAGAAGCAAGACATAGACGAAAATTGAAACGTATTAGCATATGTTTATGCGCTATGGTATTGCTAATTTACACTGAGAGAATAAAAATGGGGTGCGAATTTCGAGTAGCTTACGAAAATAACTACATACATGACTATTCCGAAATATTCGCAATTATAAATTAATTATAAATAATTTTAAAATTAGTTCTCTGTTTTAAATATACTCTACTTATTTGATACCTTCCCTTCCTAAGTTCTTTCTGGATCACTGTTCATCCTTAATACAGATAAATCTATAAGGCAAGTCAGATCAAATCACGATTGAATCAACTTAATCCTTAACTATTTTTATATGAGGCCTATGCACATCTCTAATCTCTACCAAAAGGTTGATATCTCTTTTTGCAAAAGTTTCTCACACTTACATATCTGCAGTCCACACAAAAATCGTATGACTAGGCCTTTGTAGCCTTGGAGTTTAGATGATTAATACAAAGATAAGCTCAGTCAAACTTATAAATATAGAAAAATATATTTAAGCGCATCTCCGACATATGAAAGGACATGTTGTTAATATCTGCAGACATTCTCAGTTCTACAACCATAGTTTCGTCTAGAGCATTACCTATTAGCTTAACATATCTGTATCTATAACGATGATGTAATCCAAATGATATAATACATAGTTAGATGTTGATGTTTAAGCACTGCTTTTCGCTGAGTGTAGACATACATTCATACACATTGCTGACTCACCTGCTCATCGTTGTTGCAATCGCAGGTAATTGTGGTGTCGTGCTCGGTGCAGCCGACCTTTGGCAGTGTCGTCGCTGTGCCCATTCTGGGCCAGCAGAGCAGCCACAATAACCACAACAGCACCACAGCTGTGGGATCCTTGAGATTTCGGATATTTCGCATTTTGTTTTGGTTTCGGAACGAATATTCGGACTTTTCTTCCTCACAACAAGCTGGGCATAGTCGAAGTGAATAATTTTGTTCCAGTTGCCTTCAATTTGGTTTTGCGTCTGTGTTGCTCTCTCTCTCTCTCTCTCTTACTCTCCTCTCGCTCTCTCCGTTTCTATTTCGTTCCACGCTTCAATTCTATACTCTAATAGCCCATCCCTCCCTCTTACCCTCTCTCTTTCGATCTTTCATATGCTCAGTCGTGCTCTTGCCTGTACTTGGCTGTTCCGTTCCTCTTTCGTTCCGTTCATAGGTGCTGATAAGAACAGAAAAATATAATTTTTATCGCTGAAGGTGTTTTTTTTTTGTTTAGCTTATCAATGTTTCTGCCACGAGTGTGTCACCAACGCAAGGGTATATACATACATACATATGTATCACGTTCTACGCCCGTTGGGGGAGTGGCAAATCGGGTAAAAACTGTAAGAAATGAATTCTGCATGTTTGCCAATGTTACGATTCTAAAAAGATCTACGACAAAACTATATGTCCACGCCTATTAGGGGCATACATGCATAAATACATATGTATACGAAGCGCCTTAATTTGCAATCCGTAATTATACCTTGAACCCATTAAAAAAGGGAAGTATGGGCATAATTTGAACATTATTAAACCTGTAAGCTTCAGATTTATTGACTATATACACTTGATGAATACGAAAATTCTGTAATCTACAGATTTTAGATACTACGCAAATAGTCAAAAATTGGCCATGTGATTTGTTGATCGTCATGGCGAAGGCAAGACGCATCGGGAATTGAATTCGTTTAAACTCAAAGGCCATATCTGTTGGGATAATCGGAATACTAGGAATAAGAACTTCCTTATTCTAAAAGTTTTCCTTTGAGTATCGACGCGTGAATCACATTGTTCATCAGTTTTCTTATCACCAAACGCGTTCCATTGCACAGTTTTGATTGGTTTAAATTTCTAAGCATGATAACTACCGAGCCAACCTTCAGTTGTAAATTGTGCGGTGGTAAACCAGGCACATCCAAGGAGTTCAAAAATTCAGTTGGATAATTAGTGGCTTCTTCTTCGTTTGTTACACAGTCGAT